TAGCCACGTATCGGGTACTCAGTAGTTACATGTGGCAAGTGGCCGCTGTATTGGACAGTGCGGACACAGAACATTCCATCATTGTAGGAAGTTCTTTTGGATTGATAGCACTGCTTTAGAGAATACGAAGAATGGAAAGTTGAGTATTTCGGACTTAATTATAATATTGAATCATTTTTCTGTTGAAGTTTTTGCTTATTTCAGTTGACAAAATGCTAAGGGTTACTAATGTCCTTAAATTTTATCAGCTTGTCAGTTTTGTTTGTAACAAAAAAAAAATTCAGTTAGAAAATTGTGGGTTATAAATTTTAGTTTTAAATATGCTAACCCTACACAATCCAGTTCAGTAGCCACTAGCCACATATGGGTCTTGAGGACTTGAAATGTGTCTCATATGAATTGAGATGTGCTGTAAGTGTAACGTGCAGAATATAGTTTGAATAGTTAGTACAAAAAAAGGATTTAAAATAGCTCAATTTTTTATATTGGTTTCATGTGGAAATTATATTTTGAATATATTGCGTTCAATAAAATGTATTCCTGAAATTAATTTTGACTTTTTAGTTTTTCAAATGTGGCTACTAGAAAATTTGCCAGAAGAATGAACTTATGTGGCTCACCTTATGTTTCTATCTGACAGCACTGCGCTAAACCCCAGTGCTGTAGTAAGCAAATCAAGTAATACGTACTTTTTTCTGTATTCTTAAATTGACAGTGACTAGATTTGTAAAGTGAGATTAAAAAAAAAAAAAAAAACATATTTATTGCATACATTTATTTTTGTTTTCTATTTGATTTTTTAAAATAGTACCAATAGTATCAAAATGTTTAGTGACTTCACATGTCTATGGGATATGGTGACATGCTTAAAACAGTGGTGAAGAACATTTAACCAACTGCTAAGCGAGCAAGACAGACAGTATGAATACTGTGGGCATTCCAAGGACAAAAGAATTGGTTGTGTGCTGCAACCATCAGGAAGCTATATCATGGAGGCTTTTGGGACTTGTACTGAGCAGATATGTTGTTAGTTGCCACAGAGTCGACTCTCACGCCAATCTTATATGTAACACAACAAAATGTTGCACAGTCCTGCGCCATCCCCATGATCATTGATATGTTTGAGTTCATTGATGTGGCTATTGTGTCAGTCCATCTCATTGAGGGTTTCCATCGTTTTTAGTGACCCTCTTCCAACCATGATGTCCTTTTCTCGTAATTGGTCTTCTCTGATGATGTGTCCAAAATAGGTGAGGAGAAGTCTCACAATTGTCGCTTCTAAGGAGCATTCTCGTTACAGTTCTTCTAAGACTGATTTGTTGATTTTTCCAGCAGTCCGTTGTATTCAGTATTCTTCACCAACATCACAGCTCAAATGTATCAGTTCTTCTGTCTTCTTTTTCATTGTCCAGCTCTCATGACTTGGGTCAGGTGCACTGTCTTAGTCATCGAGTGCTGCTCTAACAGAAATACCACAAGTGCATGGCTTTAACAAGAGAAGTTTATTCTCTCACAGTCCAGTAGGCTACAATTCCAAATTCAGGGCATCAGCTCCAGGGGAACACTTTCTCCACGGGCTCTGGAGGAAGGTCCGTGTCATTAATCTTCCCTTGATCTGGGAGCTTCTCTGCGCAGGAACCTCATGTCCAAAGGACACGCTCTGCTCCTGGCACTGCTTTCTTGGTGGTATGACGTTCCCATGTGTCTCTGTTCACTTCTCTGTTTTATATCTCAAACAAGATTGGATTAAGACACAGTCCAATTTTGTATACCTCATCAGTATAACCTCATCATAGTGATAGAGTTTACAACACATAAGATCACATATAACCTCATCATAGTGATAGAGTTTATAGCACAGAAGGAAATCACATCAGATTATACAATCATACGATACTGGGAGTCATGACGTAGCCAAGCTGACAGATATTTTGGGGGACACAGTTCAATCCATGACATGCACTTTAGTCATCAAAGTGACAATTTTGCTTTATAAAACTTTAAAGAGGTCTTTTGCAGCAGATTTGCTCAATGCAGTATTTCATTTGATTTCTTAACTGCTGCTTCCATGGGTGTTGATTATTGATCTAAGTAGAATGAAATTACTGGCCACTTCAGTTTCTTCTTCATTTATCATGATGTTGTTTGTCAGTCAGGTTATGATAAAAGATGAATATGCTTTAGGAAGCCATAAAATAGTAAGCTGAAGAGTTTGAATAAAGCCCTGGTAGGTATTGGGTTGGGTTTGTTAGACAGTGAACAGGCCAGAATGATTTGAATCAAGGATTTCGGTGTAGAAATGAGAGAGAAGAGTTGGAGAGTTAGGTTGCAACTGAATATTGGGACTCTGAGGCTAGGGGAAGAAATTTGGATTAGTTTATATAGTTTTTTATAAGCCATGAATGATATTTATGAACCAAGGAGTGACATGAAAGCAGTATTTTTGGACTAGATTTGGTTATGGGAGATTACGCAGAGCAATTTTTCTGAAGTGAGGAGGTACAGTCATGTCCCAGGGAAACTGGAGGAAATACAGATTAGGTTTGATTTTATAAGAATGCAGAATCTAGACTACTGAGTTTGGGGAAAGGGGAGAAGGAAGAATTGAAAATCACTTTGGTTACGAAAGAATCACGATAGAAATAACATTTTTTAGCTTTATTTATTTTGCAGTTTTAAAACTGCATTTAAAGCCAACACAGACTTTTTTTTAAAAAATTGTGCTTTAAGTGAAAGTTTACAGTTCAAGTTAGTTTCTCATACAAAAATTTATACACACATTGTTATGTGACCTTAATTGCTCTCCCTGTGATATGACAGCACACTTCTTTCCACCCCAGATTTCCTGTATCCGTTCAACCAGCTCCTGTCCCTTTGTCTTGACAGGAGCTGCCCATTTAGTCTCATGTATCTACTTGAGCTAAAAAGCATTCTCTTCATGAGTATCATTTTATGTTTATAGTCCAGTCTAATCATTGCCTGAAGAGGCCAACACAGACTTTTATAAGAAATTAGAAATGAGGAAATTGAGATTTCGTGTTTAAAGGACTTGACCAGAATCATGGTCTCCTTGTATAAGTGGTGGTGCTGAGAACTGAGCCCAGGTCTTTTTTTCCCTATGATATTGTCATTGGCATCTACTTAGTTGCGTAAGCCAGTGACTCAGATGTTTTCTAGACTCTTTCTCTATCACTCTGTGCAACCAGTCAATCACTAAATTTTATTAATTTGTTCCTTAAACTTTTCTCAAATCTGCCTGCTTCTCTCTGTACCACCTCTACATTAGTTCAGTTCAGTCTTTCTGGATTGATGTTCTGATTTTGCCATATAGTCTCTGTCCTTTACCCCACCTCCTAAAACAAACAAGGGAATAAAAGCAATCTGTTTTCCTATAGTTCAGTCATAGAGATCTTTCTAAATGCAGAGCACTCTCATGCGTACACTTTTAAATAAAATCTAAACTTCTTAGCCTGGGCTTACAAAGATTCTTCATAATCATGCCCTGCTGTTATGCCCATGCCTCCAGTACCATTATCACTTTGTTTTTCAGCCCTTTGCATCTGCTGTTGCTTCTGCAAGCAATGTCCTTCCCCCCTTGTCTCTACTACCCCCAACCTCATACTTCAGGTCTTGACTTAGTAGAATTGTCCATTTATTTGTCTGTAACCACTCCGTCTTGCCACTCCAACCCCCTGCCTCGCTAAGAAGACTCACTTAAGTAGGCTTGTTAAGGGCAGAGACTGTATCTTGCTTACTAATAGTAATGTTTTTATACTTCAGAGTCATTTTAAGTTAGGAGAATTAGCTTTAGTGGAGAAGAAAGAGTTTGGCAGAATGACTGAAAAAAATTAGGCCATCATTTCCTCAGAACGTTTGTGTCCTACAAGATATTGTGTGTTTCACAAAAAAGGATTCCATGATCAAATATATTGCAGAATGCTGCATACGTCTATCTTGGATATTCACAGTATACATAACACTAATCAATAAAAAGGCTTCAAGAAGTCCTGTAGTAAAAAAAGAACGCTTTTTTAAAAATCTCGTATTTCCCTGATATGTTTGATTGTGGAATGTTTTTAGATAGCATACCTGTTAGTTTTTCTTAGGTTGCTAGTGTTTGGTATTTGGGAAATGCTAAATCTGGCAGAGGTGTGTGTGTGTGTACGTGTGTGCTTCCTTTATTTCCCTCAGGTCTAATTAATATAATTAAACAACATAATCAGATCATATCTAAGGAATATTTGAGGACACTCTGGTTGTCTCAAGTCAGAAAAGAGAATATAGGATACAACAACTTGTAAGATATAGCAATCTTCAGGTATTTGAGGGTTCCAGTAGAAGACAGATTAAAAGTATTGTGTTTGAAGCTAGAGAGTAAGAGCAAGGGGGAAATCAAAGGAAGACAGATTTTGGCTTAGAGTAAGGGTAATAACTTTCTAATAATTAGAGCTGTTCAGAAAATGGAAATAAATGCCTTGGAAGGTAAGTTCCCTGAAGGATGTCAAGCGAAGATCCATAGAGATTCTGTAGAGGAGTTTAGCACATCAGATAAGGCGTATACTGGGAGAAGTGTTTTCTGAAACATAGTTTAAAAAACTGTTAGACTCTATTTCTCGGATGCCCATCTACTTGGAATTTATATTCCTTTGTTCTTTTTAAATTCTATGAATCTTTATCTCAGTCTAAAATCTTAGTAAAGAAACCAAATATGTATCGTGGGAAACAAACAAATTTTAAAGTTATAGTTGAGTGCTTTTACTTGGTGGAATTTTGAAATAAAACATGAATATCTCTGCTCATATTTGAGAAAGTGGTTTTCAGTAATTTCTTGCTCTAGTTTAGGCTTTTTTTTGACTCAGAGGTCTAAAAGACAGCTAAAATCAACAGCATCTATTTTGAAAAAGTATTCAGGGCTTGGGAAAAGTTCTTTTTATATAATCTTAAATGTTTATAAATGGTTTATTTGGCTAGCTAACAGATTTTTTTTTCTTCTTTGTAAGTACCAAAAGAATTGGTGGAGCTCCACTTAAAGTTGATGAGGAAGATTGGCAAATCTGTTACAGCAGACAGATGGGAAAAATATTTGATCAAGGTAAATATTTGTTAAGTATCTTTTCTATTACTGAAATATTACTGTAGCATAAATTGATAATGTTCTGTTTCATAATATGCTTAACTTTTTAAATGATCTACTAAAAGTTGCAAAATGTGACTGAAACCCATATGGTATGCTGTTGGTGGGTGTGTGATTGTCTCTTTTGCTGCTACTAAGAAATAAGAGTCCTAAGTCAAAAAGTTAGATTTCGGAGGTGGTATGTTTCTTTTGTACCTAATACTGTACTCAGGGTTTTTTTTTTTTTCTTAAGTTGTTTATTGTTTTAATTTCAATATTAATAAATATTTTAACAAAGTTTTCTAATATGGTGAACATGAATAGATATAACCCACATAAACAGAAGCTCATTAGGGTCTTCAATACTTTGTTGTTGTTGATTTACCTCATTATATTCTGTTTTTGTTTTTGAGGTGAAATTCGTAACATAAAATTAACCATTTTAAATGTACAATTCTGTGCATTTAGTATATTCATAATGTCGTGCAACCATCACCTCCATCTAGTTCCAAAACATTTTCATCATCCCCAAAGGAAACCCCATACCCATTAAACAGTCATCCCCATTTTCTTCTCCCAAGACCCTGGTAACCACTAACCTGCTTTCTGTCGCTATAGATTTACCCTCAATGTGTTTTTTTAAAATTGTATTTTAGATGAAGGTTTACAGAACAAACTAGTTTCTTATTAAACAGTTAGTATACCTATTGTTTTGTGACATTGGTTAACAACCCCATGACATGTCAACACTCTCCTTTCTCGACCTTGGGTTCCCTATTACCAGCTTTTGTGTCACCTCCTGCCTTCTAGTCCTTGCCCCTGGGCTGGTGTGTCCCTTTAGTCTCATTTCGTCCTATGGATCTGTCTAACCTTTGGCTAAAAGGTGAACCTCTCTAGTGACTTCATTACTGAGCTAAAAGAGCGTCCGGGGGCCATCTTCTCGGGGTTTCTCCAGTCTCTCTCAGGCCAGTAAGTCTGGTCTTTTTTTGTGGGTTAGAATTTTGTTCTACATTTTTCTCAAACTCTGTCCCCAACCCTTGTATTGTGATCCCTGTCAGAGCAGTCAGTGGCGGTAGCTGTGCACCATCTAGCTGTGCTGGACTCAGTCTGGTGGAGGCTGTGGTGGTTGTGGTCCATTAGCCCGTTGGGCTAATCCTTTCCCTTTAGTCTTTAGTTTTCTTCATTCTCCCTTTGTCCTGAAGGGGTGAGACCAGTGGAGTATCTTAGATGGCTGCTCACAGGCTTTTAAGACTCCAGACGCTACTCACCAAAGTAGAATGTAGAACATTTTCTTATAAACTATGTTATGCCAGTTGTGTGCTCGGGGCTTTTTATGATTTCTTTCATTTCGTCTTTACAATCATCCTGATCAAGTCAAATGATACACAGATAAGGCACAGGGATGCTGACATTTTTGCCTGAGATCACACAGTACACATAGAGCCAGGGTTTCCCCCTTACTTAAAACTTAAAATGTCCAAAGCCCTTTAGGTCAGTATGGGAAACTTCTGAGATAATTTTAAGGCCAAACCTGTTGTTAATGAGGAAAACCTGTCTAATCTAAACCAGAAGGCAGTTGCTTTAGGACTAGACCACTCAGGATAAATTGTCTTTGAGACACTTAGAGAACCACACAGTTTTTGGAAGCCTGTTCTCAACTGCCTGCTAAGCTGATGTGTAGGTATCTCTGTGCTGACCTTTGGGGATATTTTGACTTCTGTAACATACCATAATATTAGATTAGAGTTTTAGGTGATTAAAAACTATGTAATAATATCTCTTGCCTGCTTTTTAAAATGTGTATGTTCATATATACTTATATTTTCTTGTCTACTCTTCTTTTGGTGAAGGAATGTGTATGTTTATAGACTGCTATTAAAAAAAGGAACAATCAGGGAACAAGAATTGCTTATTTTTACTATAAAAATCATATGTTCTGTTCCAGTTTCTTTGCTGTGTAACACAACACTCTAAACTTATAACTATACTATGTACCCATTGCTGTCATGTTGATTCCGACTCATACTACTCTATAGCGCAGAGTAGAACCGCCCCATAGGATTTCTAAGGAGTGACTGGTGGATTTGAAATAGCGACCTTTTGGTTAGCAGCCAAGATCTTAACCACTGCCCCACAAATAATTTCATTAAGCTCACAGATTCTTTTGGTCATGAATTCAGAAAGGTCACTTCTGCTGTACTTAGTTGGTTAAGCAGTCACAGCTCTGCCCACATTCAAGGGGATATAGACGTCCAATTTTCAATCATAGCAGTGTCTAACTTTTGAAAATCCCAATATAAAAAAAATTCACTATTTTTACACAAGTTTGAAATATTGGAAAGCTGATGCCAACATTTCAAAATGTGATGCCATGGGATTTTCTAAAAGCTGGATTGACTGATGTTTAATTAAATCTCTGAAATGTACTCAACAGTGAGTAGTAAATGAGCAAAATTTTAACTACTTAATCAAGTTCTTTCTCAAATCAGTTAAGCTGCTCTTTTGCTTTTAACAAATGTTTATTAATGATTAAGAATCAAGGTTTTACAGCTTAAAAAGAGATGCTGGGATCTCAGGATGCTAATTTTAGCATAATGTTTTAAAGGGTATGGTCCTTTGTAAATTAATCTGTTGAAGTTTTTTGGTAAATATTATAACACTACTGTTCTTTTCTTTTCTTTTTTACATCCTTCATATCTGAAAACTGAGGTGGCAATATCTTGTATACTAATACTGGTTTTGCTACTAACAAACTGTAAAATCTTGGACAATCTACTTTGCCCGTTTGCGTCTCAGTTCCTTCATAAGATATGTGAATTGAGACCAGATGATTTCATAAGACCCTTCAGTACTGTGGTTATGATTCTAGCCCTTTTTTTTTTTTTAATGGAATACAATATATATGCCATAAAACTCTCTCTTTTAAAGTATAAAATTCAGGGGTTGTTAGTATATTTACAAGGTTGTGCAGTGATCACCACTATCTAATTCCAGAACATTTTCATCACCCCAAAAAGAAATCCCATACCTTTTAGCAGTTATTCCACCTTCCTTGAGCCCCTGGAAACCACTAATCTGTTTTCTGGCTCTGTGTATTTGCCTATTCTAGACATTTCATATAAATGGAATCGTATAATATGTAGCCTTTCGTGTCTGCCTTCTTTCACTTAGTGTGATGTTTTCAGTGTTCATCCACGTTGTGGCATGTATCAGGATGCTTCTTTTAAAAAAAAAAATACACATAACATAGAATTTACCATTACTGACATTCAGTACATTTACAGTGTTGTGCAGCCAATGTCAATATCTAGTTTCAGAGCATTTTCATCACCCAAAAGGAATCCTGTACTCATTAAGCAGTCACTCCCCATTGCCCTCAATGCTGTCCCCTGGCAACCACTAATCCACTTTCTGTCTCTATGAATTTGTCTGTTCTGGACATTTCATATAAATGGAATCATATGGTACGTGCCTTTTGTGTTGGCTTTTGCCACTTCTTAGCATAATGTTTTTAAGCTTCATTCATGTGGTAGCATTTACCAGTATGCCGTTTTTTTTGGCTGAATAATATTCCATTGTATGGATGTACTACATTTTTTTAAATCCATTCATCAGTTGAAGGACATTTGGGTTGTTTCCACCTTATGGCTATTATAAGGTGCTGCTATGAACATTTGTACAACAGTTTTTGTGTGGACATGTATTTTCATTTCTTGGTATATATGTAGTAGAATTGCTGGGTCATAGGTAATTCTATATTTAACTGTTTGAAGAACTGTCAGACTGTTTTCCACAACAACTGCACCATTTTACATTCCCACCAACAGTGTATGAGAGTTCCAGTTTCTCCACATTCTCACCAACATTTATATGGTTGTTTTGATTTGCATTTCCCTAATGACTAATGATATTGAATATCTTTTAATGTGCTTATTAACCATTTGTGTATCCTCTTTGGTGAAACGTCTATTCAATCCTTTGTCTTCCCATATAAATATGTATATATAGATAGATAGATATAAACATTTACCATTTCAGCATTCTTCACATGTACCGTTCTATAACTTTAATTATCCTTATCAGATTGTTCAACCATCACTACTGTCCGTTTCCATATTTTTCCATCACCCTTAACAGAAGCTTAATGTACCCTAAGCAATGAGTCCCACTTTGTCTGCCCTCCCTCCCTCTTCTGGTGACCACTGATAAACTGTAGTCTCTACATACTTGCCTATTCTAGATATTTCATGTAAGTGGGATCATATAAAATTTGTCCTTTTGTAATGGACTTATTTTCTCAACATAATGTTTTCAAGGTTCATCCATGTTGTAGCGTGTGTCAGAACTTTATTTCTCTTTTGACAGAGTAATATATTGTATGTATGTACCACATTTTGTTTATCTGTTCATCTCTTGATGGACATTTAGGCTGCCCTCACCTTTTGGCTATTGTGAATAGCGCTGCAGTGAGTATTGATGCACAAGTATTTGTTTGCATTCTTGCTTTCAGTTCTTTTGGGTATATACCTAGGAGTGGGATTGTTGGATCCTATTGTAATGCTATGTTTAACTTTTGAGAAACTGCCAAACTGTTTTCCACCACAGCTATACCATTTTACAGTCCTACCAGCAATGGATGAGGTCTCCAATTTCTCTACATCCTTGCCTATGTCTATGGTTTTTTTAATCATAACCATCCTAGTGGGTATAAAGTGATATCTCATTATGGTTTTGATTTGCATCTCCGTGATGATTAATGACATTAAGCATTTTTTCATGTGCTTGTTGACTACTTGTATATCCTTTTTGATGAAATGTTTATTCAGTTCCTTTGCCCATTTTTTGATTGGGTTGTCTTTTTCTTGTTGAGTTGTAGGGGTTCTTTATATATTCTGGATATTAAACCCTTATCAGATACATGAGTCCCCAGATTTTTCACCCAATCTATAGGTTGTCTCTTAAGTTTATTGATAAAGTCA